GAACAATAGAAACGAATGCCCATCGATTACAAATGAGTTTTCGAAGAAAGCAATCAATTCTTGCCTTTTTCCAAATGGGGAGCTATGACTCCTACGTGCCTGACGACATGTTCTGACGTACACGACGCTATGAGACGAGTGACGCTGGTGTCAAAGTCCGCGATCCGTCACAGGTTTCGCGAGATTTGCGCCGATCGCAAAAATTGCAAGTGCCCCATTTGAACATTTGAAACACTGAATATGAAACAAGTGGAATCATGAGCAGTCGTCATTCAGCCATCACTATCAAGCAGAAGTGGCGGCAGGATTGGAGAACACCTTGCAGTATTGATCGGGCACTTGTGATTTCCGTGACCCGTCGCGTGAATCGCACAAAAGCTGCGAATCTTGCGACGGATCGCGGATCTCTGACATCGGCCTGAGACTCCACTTATGTCGCCGTAGAACGTAAGCTAGTGCTCCTCATCAGTGGAATCCTCGGCGAGTCTAAGCTTTCTCGCTACTGAGTTCTTTTGTGGTGCTCCTGGTGGGTCCGTAACATTTTCCACACTTTAAGGGTGGCCGTGGCGTCGCGGACGAGTCAACAGTGGGCAGTGCTTCCGTTGTTGCGTGCGACTGTGTCAAGGCCGGGTTCAAGGAGCACATGAGCGCGTGCGGGAGCGCTACCGACTCGTCAGCGCCCGCAGCGGCCACGCCTTACAGTGTGAAAAAAATTGCGGAACTACTGTCGACATACGTCAAAAGCGCTAGAAGCGGTTAGTCGAATAACCAGCAAAACAGAAACTAGTCCCTCTTTAGACCTCAAAGAAAGACGAGAATGTGGAAACGTGGGGCCAAACAATGAAGATTTCATCTAATAATTCGTTCGGCTTTCAATACAAAACAATACTTCACAAAATGAGGTTTCGTGATATTATGACATTTTTTTTACTTTTCAGAGTTACTCAGCTGGTTCAAGAACGATTTCTTCTCGTGGTGTGATAGTCCTGTTTGTGAATCATGTGGATATCAGACAATGAAGGGTTCAGGATTGCGTGGTGAGACACCTCATGTTATTCCATTCACAGCTTTTGCATCTTAATTTTAGTTATCCGACCCCACTACGTGGCTACTTGAATCTTCCTCCATGTTCTAGCGAATGCTAAAGCGCAGACGGGTAGAGGACAGCTGCGCCTTTAGCTTCCAACACTGTCACAAAAATAATGAAAGGAGTGCAGGGTCAGGCAAAAGAGATAAGCCACTTGACGTGAAGCAAAAGATGGGACGGTAAGGTCTCAATGCAACAACTCAGATGAGGTCGTGTCGAAGAATCTGTTCTGTGGATGGGATAGAGTAGCCCACGAGTATCACAGATGTGCCGTTGTCACGGCTCGAAGTATGCGACAATGGCGCTAGGGCCTTGCAAGATGACCTGATAGATGGCGCCTAATGCGAATTTACGGACAAAAACTTGCGCCCTCACGCAGTGTGAGTTGCGACGTAGCGGATAAGATAGCCGGTAGGTAGATAGAGGGCATGTGCTTTCCACGCCATCATTATCAGTCGCTGCTACCCCACCGAGTTGGGCTGGGGTTGCTTCTCTGATGATCACGAGGCTCTGTTTATGCGGGTGAGCCTTGAAGAAGCGCATGACCGAATCAAGTAGCCCGTTGAACATTCGATCTTAGGTACTCCAACAATAGAAGAACGCGAGTCCGGAGCTGACAGGGTGGAGATCTACAATTGTTCATGTGGTCAAGAAGTGCGATTTCCACGTTACAATGATCCCGCAAAATTGCTTGAAACAAGGTGCCGTTATTGAAACATATTGACTACTTCCTTTTCAAATGTTATGCTTGGAAATAGCAAATGCACAATTACCATTTATCAAATCATTCATCATATTTTGAAGAAAAGGACGATGCGGCGAATGGGCTAATTGTTTTGGCTTGGTGGCTGCTGCCATGGATTTTGACGTGCGGTAAGTAAGACATGTCGTTGACTGGAATTCAGTAATTTTCCAGTTCATTTCTAGATTCATTTATGATGTTACTGATCACGTGTGGGTTGAGCTGTGGATCCCAGAGTGCGACAACTGGGTTCACTGCGATCCCTGCGAAAATGCCATTGATAAGCCGTTGTTATACGAAAAGGTACTGGAGAGTTTCCTATTCTTCCAGCATTTTTACTTATCGTACATTTTTACAGGGTTGGGGTAAGAATCTAAGCTATGTAATAGCATTTGGGACAGATCACGTCTACGACGTGACTTGGCGGTATGTATTGGATCCTAGGAAAACCTTGAAGCTCCGGAACAAAGTTCGCGAGCCGGTTCTCAGCAACTTTCTATCGGTAAGGCGTCATTTTACGCTCTTTTGATGCACATTCCTGTGAACTACGAACAGAAACTCAACTTGCGCGCTGGGGTGGACAGTACTCCTTCAAGAGCTACGGAGTTGAGAAGACGTCGAGTTCGAGAATTGGTGGAGTTCTTGATAATTGGCAAAAGACGTGACGATGGGCAGGTGTATGGTGGACGCATGTCTGGTGAGAAACACTTTCAGTTGTTTTTCTTCTGGTTAAAAACCGATCACCTTTCCAACAGATGCAAAAAAGTCTGAGCTTCGAATTCAAATGTTTATAATTCAAATCTATGCTAAGTGGGTTCGTTCATAGCTCAGTGTTTAAACTTACTTTTGAATGTCACTCTCTTTCGCCGTCTCGCACTCCATTTCGGGATGCCTTTTTGTGTACTTTTCCCACATATGTTACGGTAATCTCTAATAAATGTTGTAGAGGACTTCTTGTAGCCTCTCCCCCCCCCCCTTCACCATCCCGGTAACGTAGTTTAGTATGTAGCTGCAGACAGCACCTATTTGGCTACTGAAGTGAGTTATAAAGTTGCTAGGGTATTGTATAACAGGCCTGTGAATTCCTAACAGTCGTAAAGCTGCAAAGATTAAGTTGTACTGCGCTACGTCAGCTTTTATCTTTTCACTAGTCTCTGTGTTCTCCATTTCTCCGTCGTCTGATCTCTCGTTTATCACCTAATGTTCCTTCTCCATACGATCGTATACAACAAAAAAAGAAAACTTCATCAGAGATGACTTTTCTGTATCTCTTAGGCCGCCTGCAAGATGCTTGTGTAAATTTTACTAACAACACCTCGTAGTTGAGGAATGTGCCTTAAAACCATTGCCCTTCTAAAATAACACTCGTTGAAGGTGATGTCGAATGGCGAGCGGCACGATCTGAGCTGGGCTGCAGCTCCAAGCAAGAACCCTCTATAATTACTCTAACTCCTGAAGAAATATCTAACAAAAAGTTCAGGTAACTGTTGTGTTCATTGCAGTCTTAATGATAACTTTAGTAAAGTTCCATGTACTCTGTAAGTATGGATGAACAATTTTTGGCCGAATATTATCTTTTGCACTCTTCTTAAAGGATTCTCTTCTAGTTTGGAGTACAACTGTGCCCAGGATTGTTATACACGAGGAACCGACACCATTAAAGGTTGGTCAACTTACGCGAACTGCAAGGGGAGTGTTCAGCGGAAGCAAGAATCGGACTGGAAGATGGCTTACTTGTGTCGCAGTGAGAATGAGAAAGAAGCCGAAGTAAGTCGGATATGTTTAAAGAATTCGCTTGTTAATTTCAATGTTGCTTGATTTTCGCGCAGTTTCTGATTTCCTTGGTCATTTGTGCGAATTTGTTCTTTTATGCGGTTGCGCTTCCATATCTCGCACAAATGAGGTGAAGCGCCCTTTCGGCACACAGCGGTAGGGTAATTGACGATTTGACTGGGAAAGGTGGGGATGGGGTCGAGTAACGTGAAGAGTCAGTTTTCAAAGAGAAATTAAAATTTTCAAGTATAGTTCGTTAGATACAGTACTATGGCTCATTCAGGTGCAGTGTGCTTAATTTTTTCACGGTATACATGTTAGAGAGTAAGAGCTGGATTCTTGTATGGCTGTCTATGAATATCTCTCACCATACATTTGGCACAGCATAGCATCGGGACTGGGAACGGAAGAGTAATACGAGGACGGTCGAGGATAGAACGAATGAATAGGAATTTTTGCGAGATATGGCCCTAGCCAATTGCCCATACCAAGAGCTTTGCAATTTTGTAAGGAATTGTATGCGCAAGACATTCTTTACGGAGTGATCGTATTCGTTAAACGTTTTCGTTCTTCCTCCTTTACTCACTTCTATTTTCTGAGTGTAACTAGAAATTTCTATTATAGATTTCTTGGTCGATCAATCTCTGTGATGTGAAGGTGAAATCTTTCCGTCTCCAAGTTTTTGGAGCAACTGTTTATGAAGATGGATCAGTTATGGTTACCGTATGTGCTGGCGATGTAAGTTCTAGCGCTGATTTGAATTGAGTGCGTTACCTTTTTTAACATCGGCAAGGACTAGGTGAAATTTGTAAATTTGGCTTCATCACATGATCGTCTACTGCTGGTTGTTTTTTTACTTTATATAACCTACGTGTTTCAGATATGCTATCCTCTACGAAAAGGATCGAATGAATTAGTGTTAGACGATGTGCCTTCGGCTGTTTTGAAGATCAATGTGAGTTCAATTCCGATAGCTGAAATTTTTTAAGAACTTCTGTTTTCGATGACCACTATCAGATTCGGTTTTACGTTCCCGAATAGTTCGTGGTTAACAAATAATGTGTAGTCTAGACCTTGCAGTATTTTTGTGACATTCCTTTCTTTTTTATTGTTTTTTTTTTCATTTTGGATTGTAAGGGAAGTTAGCTACACATAGCCACGGTCACACTTCTGTTATTTTGCGAATATCTTCCATTTACTTCAGGTTCATTTCTCTGGTGGAACGGGAAACAATGCGTTCCAACATGCTCAGCTGTTTCGGACACCACTAGACAGTCCGGAGTCGCAAATGAAAATCGATATTGAGCTTGTTTGAACTGTTTTTTCTGACTAGTCGCTTCTAAAGCTTCTTCAATTTATGGTATTGTTTTGTTTTGAATTAATATAATAATGTCAGTGACAGTAGTAGACTACGAAAGCTTCTTGTAGATAACTTGCGGGTTCAAGATTATTATTTTTGTTTGAATAGTCTTCCATTCTTGCAGAGTTCTATTTTTAAATATTCATGTAAATGTAAAATTTCCTTCATAATTATACGCAGTTTTTCGCAGCTTTAGTAAACCAGCAGTTTGGGTTATGTTGGCTTGCGATTGTAGAATAAGTCCATATTCCACAAATGGTTTCGCTTAGTGCCAAATGTATAAGACCATACCTTCACAGCTTAGTGTGAAAGATAGGCCGTCGCATTCGCGAAATATCACCGTGAGGTGTTTTATAGAGCTCGTCGCGACCACGCACACCACTTATTTTGATGTCTGTTACGGAAGATAACTGAGAGTTGGACCATCTATACCAAGTAGAAAATTGCGCTGAATATGACAATTTTAAACCTTAAATATGAGCAAAATCCTTTTATTGTTGACAGGCTAAAATATTGTGTTCATTTTAGGGTATCTATAGTGCCAGACCATCTTTGACAGCAGTCGTATTGTTATGTAGCGCTTGCTGAGTGTTTTTTTTTCACCGTGTAATGAGGTCTTTTTTGGCTGATTGATTGAAAATAGTTTCTTCTAGATCGAAAGATGTGAACTATAATTCATGGGATAATAAGTAATGTTTTTTCGTTAATTGTGACACAGTTATGGGTTGTTGTAGGTGTGCAATGGGAAAGTGTGGCTTCGAGTTTCGTTTTCTGTTGAATAATAATATAAATTTTCATTTTGTTTGTTTGTATGAAATACTTTGCTACTTTCATTTGTACACTATGCTTCTGGGCAGTAGGAGCGGAAGGCTGGTATATAGGGAACACTAACTTTTTAATAACTGGTTGCAGAAGGGTCAACCCTTGGTTATTTTATCACATTGACGACAGCCCCTTGTGCGTGTACCTCGGCACCTTTTTGTTTTATTTTTTCACAATCATAACTTCTTCAATAATTCCACTACTGGTAATTGATGCACAGTTTTTCGGATAAGATAATGCATGCACACAGTTTTGAAATATGAAAAATGCCAGATAAATCGAGAAATAACTAGCTAGAATCGGGTGAAATGAAACGCGCTTGCGCGACCCGCAGTACTCTTCGAACAGCTTGTAGTAATTGCTCACTATATATATGCTATTTTCTACATTTTGCCAAACATGCAATAAACAAATAAACAAAGCCCCACTCCGAAATACCTCGTACATTCCATTGATAGTAGACGAGACAGCCGCCTACGCGCTTTCTATATATCGCATGGAATACCTGCGTCACGTAAAGCCTCCCCCTCATCAGTTGTGGTCTCACTCCAAGCAGCTGCTCCTCGACCAAGGTGTCTGCGATAATGACCGTCAACTGTCTTCTTCTTCTTATTCTTTAGCGTCTGT